ACAACACGTCCAGGCTGCTGTGCAAGCTGCTTTGCCACTTGGGCCATAGGACCTAGCAGATCCAGTGGTGCTTGAAGTGACAGTGGCAGATAGGGATACTGTTTGGAGCTCTTGGCTATATATATATATATATATATATATATATATATATCCTATAGGTTAATCACAGCCTAGCCCTTCAGGATTTTGTTTTACTTTATTTTTTGAGACAGGGTCTTGCTCTGTCACCCAGACTGGAGTGCAGTGGCACAATCACAGCTCACTGCAGCCTTGACCTTTCAGGCTCAATTGATCCTCCCACTTCAGCCTCCCTAGTAGCTGGGAGTGACTGCAGGTGTGCACCACCACATCTGGCTAACTTTTGTAATTTTTGTAGAGATAGGGTTTCCCCATGTTCCCGACTTGGTGAGCCTCCTTTAGGATTTTGGAGCAAAGCCCTACTATTCTCTGCAGATAACTACCCTCCTTTTAAGAAACAGCTCTTGACTGGGCGTGGTGGATCACTCCTTTAATCCCAGCACCTTGGGAGGTTGAGACCAGCAGATCTCTCTCTTGAGCACAGGAGTTTGAGACCACCCTGGGCAACATGGCAAAAATCCATCTCTAGGCCAGGCGCAGTGGCTCACGTCTGTAATCCCAGCACTTTGGGAGGCCAAGGTGGGCGGATCATGAGGTCAGGAGATCGAGACCATCCTGGCTAACACGGTGAAACCCTGTCTCTACTAAAAATACAAAAAATTAGCCGGGCGTGGTGACAGGCGCCTGTAGTCCCAGTACTTGGGAGGCTGAGGCAGGAGAATGGTGTGAACCCAGGAGGCGGAGCTTGCAGTGAGCCGAGATAGCGCCACTGCACTCCAGCTTGGGCAACAGAGCGAGATTCCGTCTCAAAAAAAAATAATAATAATAAAAATCCATCTCTACAAAAAAATACAAAAAGTATTAATAGCTGGGTGGGGTGGTGCATGCCTGTAGTCCCATCTACTCAGGAGGCTGAGGTGGGAAGATTGCTTGAGCCCAAGAGGTTGAGGCTGTAGTGAGCTGTAATTGTGCCACTGCAGTCCAGCCTGGGTGACAAAGTGAGACCCTGTCTCAAAAAAAAAAAAAAAAAAGAGAGAGAGAGAGAGAGAAACAGCTGCTGATCTGCTACTGGGTCTTAGTAGAAACTAAATACTTGACCATGGGCCACCAAGTTACATTCCTGCCCATCATGAACTGGGTGTTACCCAACTAACCAAGAGTCGGTGTGCACAGCAGTGCTCCATCGTCGAATGGAAATGGGAAATATGTGATGGGGCCTAAGCAGGCCCTGAAGACACAAGTAAGTTACATGAGGAAGAGGCCTAAATGCCCATGGTCCCCACTCCTTCCACCCTGCCTGGTTTCTCCCAGCCTGAACCTGTGGCCTCATGGCGAGTTCCCTACAATTAGTTGACAGAGAAAGAGAAGACTTGGGCATGGTTTACAGATGGTTCTGCATGTTATGCAGGCACGCTCTGAAAGCAGACAACTGAAACACTATGACCCCTTTCTGAGACATCTCTGAAGGACAGTGGAAAAGGACAGTTGACAAGGGGTGGACTTGTGATGGTAAATTTTATGTGTCAACTTGATAGGGACACAGGATCTGTAGGGTGTTTCCAGATGAGGTTAGCAAATGAATTGTTGGACTGAGTAAAGCAGATGGCTCTGCCCAGTGTAAATGGGCATCACCCAGTCCACTGAAGGTTGGAATAGAACAAAAAGATGGAGGAAGGTGGAATTTGCTCTGTGACTGCTTGAGGTGGAACACCAGTCCTTTGTCCTTGGCTGGTACTTACACCATCAGCCCTTTGTTTTTTTGTTTTGTTTTGTTTTTTAGAGATGGAGTCTCACTCTGTCACCCAGGCTGAAATGCAGTGGCACAATCTTGGCTCACTGCAACCTCCACCTCCTGGGTTCAAGCGATTCTCCTGCCTCAGCTTCTCAAGTAGCTAGGACTAGAGGCATGCACCACCAGGCCCAGATAATTTTTGTATTTTTAGTAGAGATGGGCTTTTGCTATGTTAGTCAGGCTGGTCTTGAACCCCTGACCTCAAGTGATCCGCCCGCCTTGGCCTCCCAAAGTGCTGGGATTGCAGGCGTAAGCCACCATGCCCAGCCAACACCATCAGCCCTTTGGTTCTTGGAACTACACCACTGGCTCTCCTGGGTCTCCAGCTTGCTGATAGCAGATTGTGGAACTTCTCAGCTTCCAAAATCACATGAGCCAATTCCTTATAATATATTACATATTGGTTCTGTTTCTCCTACTGGTTCTGTTTCTCCAGAGAACTCTGACTAATACACCCAGCAATTCCACTTCTAATTCTAGTACTCAGACATGTGCACAGAGCTGTCAGAACAAGGCTGGTAGGAGCAAACAACCAGGAAAATCTTATAAATGTTCACTGATAGCCAGGACTATTACAGAGTAAAACGAATAGGTGGTTCATGTTACAGCACAGAGTGCCCACTGGACATGACACAGAATGGATGGGACTTGTGTGTACCTGCGGGGGTGGGGGTTACCTTCTACAGGATGTGCTACAGGCAGGGAAAAGCAAGGGGGAGTCAGTTACAGTGACCTAGTGCATCTGTGTAGTGTGCACACACACACACTATGTAAACACAGAGAACTGAATCTGGAAGGAAACACCAGAATTTGACCCCAGTGGTCATTTTGGGGAAATGGGGGTGGAGATGATTGCTAGAGTCCATGTACTGATGTGTTGTTCAAATTTTTTTTTTTTTTTAAGAGAAAGAGTCTCCTTCTGTCGTCCAGGCTGGAGTACAGTGGCACAATCTCAGCCCACTGCAACCTCTGCCTCCCGGGTTCTAGTGATTCTCGTGCTTCAGCCTCCCGAGTAGCTGGGATTACAGGTGTGTGCCACCATGCCTGGCTAATTTTTGTATTTTTAGTAGAGATGGGGTTTCACCATATTGGCCAGGCTGGTCTCGAACTCCTGACCTCAATTGATCCACCTGCCTTAGCCTCCCAAAGTGCTGGGATTACAGGTGTGAGCCACTGCCCTCGGCCTGTTTTTCAAATCTTTTATACAAACCTGTATTCACATATTATTTGTGTAACTCTTTTTAAAGGAAAATCATATGCTTAAAAACAATATCTGGCCGGGCGCGGTGGCTCACGCCTGTAACCCCAACACTTCAGGAGGCCAAAGGAGGCCAATTGTAGGCAACATAGCAAGACCTCATCCTTACTAAAAATACAAAAATTAGCCAGGTGTGGTAACGCACACCTGTAGTCCCAGCTACCCAAGAGGCTGAGGCAGGAGGATCCCTTGAGCCCATGAGTTTGAGACTGCACTGAGCCATGATGGCACCAGTGGGCTCCAGCATGGGTGACAAAGTGAGATCCTGTCTCAAAAAAACAAAAACAAAACAATATCCACAACACAAAGTGTTTGTGTTGGGGGTAACTAGAAACAAAAATCTCAAACTCACATGCTCCAGGGGCCAGACAGGTAACTTGTAAGACAGAAGGGGGAGCTCAGCTCAGGGTAAAGTGAACAACAACCGGGCTGATGAATGTTCTCTGACTCTCGGCAGTGGAAAGTGAGGGTAGTGGGGAGGAGGAGGAAGACTGCAAATCTCATCCCCCAAAACTCGTCCCCCAAAATAATTCAGGAACATCACACCCTGGGGCTCAGAACTTTTTTTTTTTTTTAAACAGAGTCTCACTCTATCACCCAGGCTGGAGTGCAAGGGCACAATCTCAGCTCACTGCAACCTCCGCCTCCCGGGTTCAAACTATTCTCCTGCCTCAGGCTCCTGAATAGCTGGGACTACAGGTGCACACCATCATGCCCGGCTAATTTTTGTATTTTTAGTAGAGACGGAGCTTTACCATGTTGGCCAGGCTGGTCTCAAACTCCTGGCCTCAAGTGATCCGTCCACCTTGGCCTCCCAAAGTGCTGGGATTACAGGCGTCAGACACCGTGCTTGGCCAAGGGGCTCAGAACTCTTAAGGGTTTAGGGATCTTGGCTTGGAAACAGACCCATAATAGGTCAGAGCAGTCATACTCTAACTCAGATAGCTCACAACTTCACACCCCTGACACACACTCTCAAACAGCTCACAGATCTCACACTTTGGAGACATACCCCTAAGTAGAACAGAGGCATCACACTCTAGAATAAAGATCCCCTTAATACTTGGTGGTTTTTCAGTATTATTATTATTATTGAGATGGAGTCTCGCTCTGTTGCCCAGGCTGGAGTGCAATGGTGCCATCTCGGCTCACTGAAACCTCCGCCTCCCGGATTCAAGCGATTCTCCTGCCTCAGCCTCCCAAGTAGCTGGGATTACAGGCGCCCGCCACCACGCCTGGCTAATGTTTTGTATTTTTAATAAAGATAGGGTTTCGCCATGTTGTCCAGGCTGGTCTTGAACTCCTGACCTCAGGTGATCCACCTGCTTTGGCCTCCCAAAGTGCTGGGATTACAGGTGTGAGCCACCGCACCCAGTCTTCAATGTTAACAAGAAGTAATCCCTTACACATCCACTTTAAGCTTTTAATTTCGAGGCCCTGAGTTTAATGTCAAAGTCCTCCATTTGCACCACCTACCTGTGTCACCTCCCACAGTCCTCAGCCTGTGCCCTCCCATTCCTGCCCCTTGATCTCCAGGTGCTGAGCCAGAGAGTTGTCGGGAGGCCCCTGGACAAAGACGCCTACCCTGCCATGCTGCGCCATCTGCCCTCCAGGCTGCCAGTCAAGATGTGGGGCAGGATTTTGGAGAAACAGGTGAACAAAGTGGCCGCTGGGGTTCTGGGGCAAGGGTGTTGACACTGAAGCTAGTCTAGTAACCTGTTTCCCTTCTCTGCCGGCTTCCATTTCCTGTCCTCCTCTCTCCCTTTCTCTTTCAGAGACAAGCAGAGGGCAGCAGAGGCCCATGGAAAGGCCCGGCTCTAAGCCCTGGAGGGCCCTGTGCTCAGGTGTGCAGGGCTGGGCCAGGGCTGAGGGCTGGCTCCTCCCCCAGTTTACCAGGGACAGGTGGAGAGATACAAAGGTGACTCACGCAGGGTGTCCCTGAAGCTGTCGTGATTAAGGCCGTGTGGAGAGAGGCTAAGAAACACAGCGCTGACCTTGAGCTTTAGGAGAGGAATTCAGAGGCCCCTGGCAACCTGAAGGGGACCTTGAAGAGGACCCTGTAGGAAGACAGAACCATTCCCTGTGGAGGAGGCCAAAGGAGGAAGGACATGGTGTTCCGGGTACTCTGACTATAGGGATTTTATAGGTTGTGGTGAGAAATGAAATGGATTACATTTTTGTAGAGTGTGTAAAACAGGGCTTGGCACACAGTAAGCCTTGTGTGATTACTATGCTTTTTTCTTTCTTTCTTTTTTTTTTTTTTTTTTCTGAGACCAAGGTTTGCTCTTGCTGCCCAGGGTGGAGTGCAGCAGTGCGATCTCGGGTCACTGCAACCTCTGCCTCCCAGGTTCGAGCGATTCTTCTGCCTCAGCCTCCCTAATAGGGGATTACAGGCGCACACCACCATGCCCACCTAATTTTTGTATTTTTAATAGAGACAGGATTTCACCATGTAGGCCAGGCTCAAACTCCTGACCTCATGTAATCCACCCACCTCAGCCTCCCAAAGTGCTAGGATTACAGGTGTGAGCCACCGCACTCAGTCCTTTGTGTGATGACTATGTCTTGATCATCATTTTATAAAGCAGGCTTTGTAACTTCACCTCCAAGACCCTGCAGGATCCAGACCCTGCCTTGCCCTCCCACTCATCTCTTACTCACTCTTGGGTTCTGAGCCACGCTGGCCTTCCTGTTCTTGAAGAGAGCCATCCCTGCTCATCCTTGAATTTGCAAGGATGGAGCTCCAAGTCCACAAAGTAGGATCTGGGGAGTGAATCTGAGCTGGCAGGGAACTGAATAATGGGAGGAATAGGTGGAGTTTATTTCCAATAGACTATCAAAATGATACGGATGTGGCCAAAGCAGTGCTTAGGGGAAATCTATAGTTCTAAATGCATAGATCGGAAAAGTAGAAAAGTTGAAAATCAATGACCTGAGCTTCCCTATCAAGAAACTGGGAAAAGAATGGCAAATGGAACCTAAGACAGTAGAAGGAAGGAAATTATAACAGCAGAAACTGGTGAAATAGAAAACAAACATACAATAAAGCCAACAATGTCAAAAGTTGATTCTTTGAACAGAATAATAAAATATTAGCAATGTCTACTTTATCTCGAGAAATTAAGAGAAAATATATAGATTGCCAATTATCAGGAAAGTAAATAGGGTATTGTGACAGATTCTATAGATGTTAGAAGGTTAATAAGGGCTGGGTGCAGTGGCTCATGCCTGTAATCCCAACACTCTGGGAGGCTGAGGAGGGAGGATCGCTTGAGCCCAAGAGTTCAAGACCAGCCTGGGAAACACAGTGAGCCCTCACCTCTACAAAAAAATGAAAAAAGAAAACAAAAAATAGTTGGGCATGGTGGCACACATCTGTAATCCCAGCTACTAGGGAGGCTGAAGTAGGAGGATTGCTTGAGTCCAGGAGGTTGAGGCTGCAGTGAGCTGTGATCATGCCACTGTACTCCAGGCTGGGCAACAAAGCAAGACCCTGTCTCAAAAAGGGAATTAAAAAAGAAAGTTAATAAAATTTTTTTCAACATATGACTTTATTTTCAATGGAGCCAAAATGTTGGTCATTTTCTCTTTCTACAGTTCCTATGTCCATGTGGATATTTTGTATCCACTGGGAGAGCAGAACTCAGCAACTTCGCTAATGCCTCCTCCGCTCAGGAAAATAGAATGGTACAGGATTTTTTTTTAGCTGGAGCTCAGTGAAATCAATTGTTTAAAATGGGCTGGTTTCAATGGAACTAAACGCAGTGGAATAGAAAATAAAATAGCAAAGGGTAGAATGGAATCCAATTGCATCGAATAGAACAGAATAGAAATTAGTCAGACTTTGTGCCAAGCACTGTCCCTAGTTGTTCCAGTAGATATTTATTTATTGAACAAATATGATTGAACCAGTTCTTTGGGAAAGAGTGGGGAACAAAACAAACAGAAGCCCCTGCTCTTATGAAGCTTACATTCTAGTCAGGGAGACAGGCATTACCATCTGCAAAGGCCCTGAAATGAAAGGTACAAGGGTGGTCCTTATGAGGAACAGGAAAAAGGACAGTGTAGATTGGAGTTCAAGAGCAATGGATGAGGCTGCAGAGATAGGGGGTCATTGTAACTGAGTCTAGATTTTAAGAAGATAACTACACATTATCATCATCAATCCTTTTATAGCACTTGATATGTATTGGGCATTATTCTATGCCCTTAAAAACAGTACTTTTTAAAAACTCTCACAATACTCCTATATGTATAAAATCATGCTCATTTTATAGAAGGGGAAACCAAGGCACAGAGAAATTAGAGAAATTATTTAAATGTCAGTCTGGCTCCAGAATCTTTTATTTTTATTTATTTATTTATTTATTTTTTTTTTTGAGACATGGTCTTGCTCTGTCACCCAGGAGTCTGGTTGCGTGATCATAGATCATTGCAATCTCCGGTCCCAGGCTCAAGTGGTCCTCCCACCTCAGGCCCCCAAGTAACCGGAACTACACGTAAGCGTCCCCCAACCTAGCTAATTTTTGTATTTTTTTGTAGATACAGGGTCTCACTGTGTTGCCCAGGCTGATCTCAAACTCCTGGGTTCTAGGGATCTGCCTGCCTCAGCCTCCCAAAGTGCTGAGATTCCAGGCGCCACCGCCAGAATCTATTCTTTTAAGCATTATACTCCATTGCTTATAGTGCCAGACCACAGGTGCTTTATAATCCTGTAGCAGAGATACTGTAAATACACAAATTACTAAATAATTCAAGTCAAGAGAAAGATCTGATGGGAAGTGTGCTGACGGCGGGAAAGTGGAAGGGGTGGTAGTAGTCCTCCCTCTGGGTGTCAAGGTGGATCTGTAAACACGCATGCCCAGAAACCTTCATTTCTTCTGAGATGCCCCCTTCTTGTCCTGTTCTCTGTGACTGAAGCTGCAGAATGAGAAAGGAGTGGGCTGGGTAATATTGGCCAATTCACAGAACTGGGCCTCCTCTGTGTCTTGTCACTTCTTGGAAAACAGATGAATTCTATTTTGGGGAAAACAGGGGAGGGCATTGTCTTGGTCTCCACTCCACTAATCTTCACTTCTGGAAGAGGAGAAAGGGAACAAGAAGGCCAGGTGCAGTGGCTCACCCCTGTAATCCCAGCACTCTGGGAGGCCAAGGCAGGCAGATCACTTGAGGTCAGGAGTTTGAGACCAGCCTGATCAAAATGGTGAAACCCTGTCTCTACTAAAAATACAAAAATTAGCCAGGCATGGTGGCGCACACCTGTAGTCCCAGCTACTCAGGAGGCTGAGGCAGGAGAATCACTTGAAGCCAGGAGGTGGAGGTTGCAGTGAGCTGAGATTGTGCCACTGCACTCCAGCCTGGGCAACAGAGTGAGACTCTGTCTCAAAAAAAAAAAAAAAAAAAAAAAGGAAAAAAAGAAAAGAAAGGGAACAAGAAAACAGTGGAGAGTGGTCATGGCAGACAGGTGGGCTCTCGTGAATCCACACATGGGCAGTAAGACTCTACCAATAAGTATTCTCTCAGGCCTTTCCCCTTGAAAGAGGGTGAGGAGGAAGTAGAGTAATGGGGGAGGTAGGGGGAGGTAAGGAGAAGAAAACACGGGCGTGACAAGTGGCAATGTGGTCTCCTCTGACTTTTTTTTCTTTTTTTAGTCGTGGAGGGACAGCAGTCAGACCCCTCCCCCATGTCTTATCCGTAGACTTGACCACATCGTGATGACGGTGAAGAGCATCAAAGACACCACCAAGTTTTATTCCAAGATCCTGGGCATGGAGGTCGTGACTTTTAAGGTAACCACTTTCCCAAATGCCAAAATTCAGGTGGGCTAAAATTTGTTGATAACACTTTAACATATAACTTAACTCTGAAAGGAAAACCACGGGAAATCTGAGAGAAAATATAAAGAGATCAATAGAGGAGATTCCAGACTGAATATATGGGCTTCCAGAGAGACAATGGAGAAAAAGGAGAGGAGGAAATTACCACAGAAACAATACAAGAGAACTCTGCAGTCACCACATGAAAAAGGTTAACCAAGTATCCAGCATGTTGACACTTAAATGGATCCTTATGAAATTATAGAACATCAAACTGAAAAAGTAGATGCTAAGAGCTTTCATAGAGATTAAAAAGTAGATTATCTACAAAGGAAAAAAAAAACAAACAAATGTCAGATTTTCCAAGAGACCAGAGACCAAAAGATAAAAGGACACCTTCAAGACTCTGAGGGGAAAATTTTCCACCTAGAATTCTATGTCCAACCAAACTATTAACCAAAGGTAAATGTAGGGGCCAGGTGTGGTGGCTCATACCTGTAATCCCAGCACATTGGGAGGCCGAGGTGGGTGGATCACTTCAGGTCAGGAGTTTGAGACCAGCCTGACCAACATAGCAAAACCTCGTCTCTACTAAAAATACAAAAATTTGCCATGCATGCTGGTGCACGCCTGTAATCCCAGCTACTTGGGAGGCTGAGGCATGAGAATTGCTTGAACCTGGGAGGCAGAGGTTGCAGTGAGCCGAAATTGCACCACAGCACTATCTAGTCTGAGTGACAGAGCAAGACTGTATCCAAAAAAAAAAAAAAAAATCAAACAAACAAAAAGGTAAATGTAGAATAAAAGCATTTTTAGTCATGCGAAGTCTTAGAAAATTTCCCACTTGCTTTGAAAATTACTTAAGGGTATGCTATATCAAAATGGGGGACTGGCCGGGCACGGTGGCTCACGCCTGTAATCCCAGCATTCTGGGAGGCAGAGGTTGCAGTGAGCCAAGATTGCACCACTGCACTCCAGCCTGGGTGACAAAGCAAGACTCCATTTCAAAAAAAAAAAAAGATGACTAATCTCAGAATATGGAAGTCAGGCCACAACAGATCCCAAGAGGAGGATCCCAGAAAGGCACTTAGAGAACAATAAGTCCAGTTTGGTACAGGTGTAAGAAAGATCCCAGGAAAGACAGATCCAAGGGAAAAAAGAGGTTTCCAGAGATTGAACTATCCTTGAGAATTTGGAACAACTTCAAAAAAGGCAAATGCAAAGAAAGCAAAAAATCCCTAAGATGTGCTTCAGTAAGTGAATGGTTATATCAACTGTGGCACATCCAGACAATGAAATATTATTCAGTGATAAAAATAAATGGATTATCTGCCAGGTGCGGTGGCTCACGCCTGTAATCCCAATACTTTGGGAGGCTGAGGCGGGTGGACCACCTGAGTTAGGAGTTTGAGACCAGCCTGGCCAACATGGTGAAACCCCATCTCCACTAAAAATACAAAAATTAGCCAGGCATGGTGGTGGGTGCCTGTAATCCCAGCTACTCAGGAGGCTGAGGCAGGAGAATCACTTGAACCCAGGAGGCGGAGGTTGCAGTGAGCCAAGATTGCGCCATTGCACTCCAGCCTGGGTGACAGAGCAAAACTCTGTCTCAAATAGATAAATTAATTAAATAAAATAAATGGACTATCAATCCATGAAAAGACATGGCGGAAACTTAAGTGCCTATTACTAAGTAAAAGAAGTGGGGGAGGCTGTGCATATGTGGGGGCAAGGTGTATATATCCCTATACCTTCTGTTCACTTTTGCTGTGGACCTAAAACCACTCTAAAACAATTAAGTACACATGAACACACCCCCCCACCCCCCGACACACACACAGATGTAACTTAAATAGAAAGGGCTCGAGGAATCACAAACAGGAGAAGAAAAATTTTTTTAGACATGGTCTCGCTCTGTTGCCCAGGCTGAACTGCAGTGTTGCGATCATGGCTCACCACAGCCTGAACCTCCTGGACTCAGGTGCTTCTCTTGCCTCACCCTCCTGAGTAGCTGAGACTGTAGGCACGTGCCACCACATCTGGCCAATTTTTTCTATTTGGGTAAAAATGTTAAATCTAACATGGAACCTTATGCAGAAATGTAGTATTATGCAACATCAGACTGGATGTGTACACAGCAACATGAATGGGTCTTGAAAAGAACATGCTGAGTGAAAAATGAAGAAACAATCAGGTCTACAGCATGCTACCCTTTACAATACACACACATAAAACAGTAACACTTTTTACAGCAATTTATGAAAACCCAAGGATACACATCAAACACATTATAATGGTTGCTTAAGGTAGAGATGGGAATGGAGAATGAAGAGAAAAAGATAAATAAAACAAGAGATAGTCCTTGCGTGGGCCAATGGTGACAACGAGGTGTATGATGCCTCAACCTCTGTACTTGGACACAATGGAGTGAAATTTCAGAACATTAGGATTAAGAAAAATCCTAAAGCTGCAGTAGTGGAAGATGGTTGTATCACCAACCAAATAATAGAAAATGCAGATGAACATCAGACTTCTTAACAGCAACACCACATTTGGGGAAGACAATGAAGCAACATATTTAAAAGACTATGGGAAAATAAGCTGCAACCTACAATTGTACACTAAGCCAAACTATCTTCAAGTCCAAAAGTGAAATAAAATCGGCCAGACGTGGTGGCTCACACCTGTAATCCCAACACTTTGAGAGGCTGAGATGGGTAGATCACTTGAAGTCAGGAGTTCAAGACCAGCCTGGAAAACATGCTGAAACCCTATCTCTACTAAAACTACAAAAATTAGCCAAGCATGGTGGCTTGCGCCTGTAGTCCCAGCTACTCAGGAGGCTGAAGCAGGAGAATCGCTTGAACTCAGGAGGCAGAGGTTGCAGTGAGCCGAGATCTCACCATTGCACTCCAGCCTGGGTAACAGAGTGAGACTCCGTCTCAAAAAGAAAAAAAGAAAAGTGAAATAAAGTCATTTTCTGATTGAATGGATATGGTATCATTCATAGTGATATAAAAGAGATAGAAAAAGAAAAAAAATGGCACATGTTGAGAGGTCCAGGAGAGGGAGGAGCCATGAAGAACATGGCAGGGCTGTGAGTTAGTCTGTAGTTGATCTACAAAAATAAACTTGCAGCCAGGCGTGGTGGCTCATGCCTGCAATCCCAACACTTTTGAGAGGATGAGGCAGGAGGATCGCTTGAGCTCAGGAGTTGGAGTCCAGCCTGGGCAACATACTGAGACTATTGTCTCTACAAAAAAAAAAAAAAAAAAAGTTTTATAATTAGCCAGGCATGGTGGTGCACACCTGTAATCCTAGCTACTCAGGAGGCTGAGGCAGGAGGATTGCTTGAGGCCAGGAAGTCAAGGCTGCAGTGAGCCATGATTGCACCATTGCATTCCAGCCTGGGTGACAGAACGAGACTCTGTCTCTTAAAAAAATTAAATAAATAAAATAAACATGCAAGTGGGTTATTTAAAGATTGTAAAGGAGCTAAAAGAGAAACTAAAAATGATAATCAAATTGTGTTGGAAGAGGTAGTAATGTGAATGAGCTAAATTCTCATTTATCATAGCAGGGAGATGATAGGAAATATCTCAAGTTGCTAAATCAAGAAATAGTGATGCGGCTGGGCACACTGACTCACACCTGTAATGCCAGCACTTTGGGAGGTTGAGGCGGGGATCACTTGAGCCAGGAGTTCGAGACCAGCCTGGGCAACATGGGGAGACCCGGCCTCTACAAAAAATAAAAAAATTAGCCAGGCATGGTGGGGTGTGCCTGTGGTCCCCGCTACTCAGAGGCTGAGGTTGCAGGATTACTTGAGCCTGGGAGGTTGAGGCTGCAGTGAGCCATGATTGCTGCCCTGAAGCCTGGGCAACACAGCAAGATCCTGTCTCAAAAAAAAAAAAAAAAAAAGAGACCAGGCACAGTGGCTCACGCCTATAATCTCAGTACTTTGGGAGGCCGAGGTGGGCAGATCACCTAAGGTCAGGAGTTCAAGACCAGCCTGGCCAACATAGAAAACCCCATCTCTACTAAAAATATAATAATTAGCTGGACATGGTGGCGTGCATCTGTAGTCCCAGCTACTCCGGAGGCTGAGGCACAAGAATCACCTGAACCAGGAATGTGGAGGTTGTGGTGAGCCAAAATTGCGCCACTGCACTCCAGCCTGGGCAACACAACAAGACTCTGTCTCAAAAAATAATAAATAAATAAATAAATAAATAAATAAACAGTGGTGCATCCGTTAGGGACTTTGGAGGCACATAGGAGAAAACTCAACTAACTAACTGTGGGTTAAACAAGACAGAGTTTTCTTTTCCTCTCACTGAACAACCAGTCCAGAGGTAGTCAGGTCATGGGCAGTGGCTGGGAAGCAAGAGGAAGTGAATGGGCAATAAGGGCCAGCACTGTGGGGTAGGGAGGTTCCCGGAAGACCCACCCACACCTCTGCCCGCATCTCATTACCCAGTCCAGCTAACGTGGCCTCCGGACGTGCTGGGAAATGTAGGTTTTTTAAGTTGGGCACACAGTTGACCCCACTGAAATTTCTGTTGTTTATAAGAAATAAAGGGGAAATGTATACGCGGTAGGCAAATTGCTATCTCTGCCTTGGGTGGTATAAACACTATTTGGAGATACGGAAATAATTTCAGGGAGAAATGAACTCGTACACTTGCCTCTAGGGAATGAGACTTGGGTGGGGCAAAAGGTTGTTGTGTAGTAGCCCCATTCTAGTTTTTATTTTTTTAAAACCTTGTTGGGATGGGTGGAAAGGCTTCATCTCACACTCACCTTGGAGGTTTAATTCTAAGCTGTTGTCTCCGCCCTTCCCCGCCAAGTAGGAAGACCGGAAAGCACTGTGTTTTGGAGACCAGAAATTTAACCTCCACGAGGTGGGAAAGGAATTTGAACCCAAAGCTGCTCACCCGGTTCCTGGCTCCCTGGACATATGTCTGATAACAGAGGTGCCTTTGGAGGAAATGATCCAGCACCTCAAGGTGAGTGGGACTTCTCTTCTTTTTGCAAAAGCTGCTGCAAACACAGTGAAAACAGAAGCATGACCCAGAGAGGTAACAAGTTTTACCACAACCAGATAATGTCTGCACACAGTTATGTACTCACTATTTTGACTGACATAATTTTTTCATGTAAATAAATGTATTTAAAAAGGAAACTAAGCATCCCCATTGTAAAACAAACCAACAAAAACCAAAAAAACCTACATTTATACACTTAAATACTTTTTTTTTTTTTTTAAGATAGTCTTGCTCTGTCGCCCAGGCTGGAGTGTAGTGGCGTGATCTCAGGGTCACTGCAACCTGCACATCCCAGGTTCAAGCGATTCTCCTGTCTTAGCCTCCCAAGTCGCTGGTACTACAGGCATGTGCCACCACACCTGGCTAATTTTTGTAGTTTTAGTAGAGACGGGGTTTCACCATGTTGGCCAGGATGATCTCAAACTCCTGACCTCAAGTGCTCCACCCACCTTGGCCTCCCAAAGTGCTGGCATTACAGGCATCAGCCACGTGCCCAGCCCTAAATACATTTATATAAAAAGAAAATGTTCATCTAAGTACATGAAAAACCCATTATGTCTTGGCATAAAGGAAAAGTAACTGTAAAAACCAACAGCTATAAAAGCATAACAATGTCATTAGATTCTAGCCACTTCCGTTCCCTGTACTCCCTGGCCCTGACATTACAAAGGGAGATATAGCAGGTGGTTAAAGAGATACTAAGAACTTGTTAGCATCCACCTTCTTTGTATAACAAGAAGGACTGAAAGAAGATTGAAGAGGGAATAATTTCTGATTTGCTGTTATTTAATCCAGTGTCTCTGTAATACTTAAAATGATGTCATCTAGAAGAGACATTGGCTGGGCATGGTCACTCATGCCTGTAATCCCAGCACTTTGGGAGTCTGAGGTGGGAGGATCATTTGGGTCAGGAGTTCAAGACCAACCTGGGCAACATAGTGAGATCCCATCTCCACAAAAAATAAAAAAATTAGCCAGGCGTGGTAATGCATGCCCGTAATCCTAGCTACTCAAGAGGGTGAAGTGGGAGGATCACTTGAGCCCAGGAAGTTGAGGCTGCAGTGAGCTATGATCATGCCACTGCACTCCAGCCTGGGTGATACAGCAAGACCCTATCTCTAAAAAATTAAAATAAGGCCAGGAGCACAGTGGCTCGTGCCTGTAATCCCAGTGCTTTAGGAGGCCAAGGAGGGAGGATCACTTGAACCCAGGAATTTGAGACCAGCCTGGGTAACATGGTGAGACCCTGTGTCTACATAAAATACAAAAAAAATTAGCCGGACGTGGCGGTGTGTGCCTATAGTCTCAGCTACTTGGGTGGCTAAAAGGTAGGAGGATTGTTTGAGCCCGGGTTGAGGCTGTAGTGAGCTGTGATCGTGCCACTGCATACTAGTCAGGGTGACAGAGCAAGGCCCCGCCTCTACAATAAATAAAGGGATATTAGTTTCCCTTTTGCAGAACACGGATTGAGGTCTTATATATATTCTGTGCAAATAACCTACACGCCTTCTTTGGGAAGTGTCAGTGAAAAAGACTGGTTTGGAAGGAAAATGGGTGAAGCATAGGGGTTAAGAGTATGGTCGTTGACCCAGACTGCCTGGGTTCGAATTCTGGTTCTGCCACTTACTAGATAATACTAGGCACTATTATCCTTCCCATTTTACAGATGAGGAGACCAAGGTACAGGGTAGTTAGGTACTGTGCCCAAGGCCATCTAGCTGATAAGTGGCTGGAACAGAGTGATGGGGGAAGGATGATAGGAGATGAAGTCAGAAAGATACAGTGGTGTTCTAAGGTCTTCTGGGCCACTATAAGGAATTAAATTTTACAGACCGGGTGCAATGGCTCATGCCTGTAATTCCAGCACTTTAGGCGGGCAGATCACTTGAGGTCAGGAGTTCGAGACCAGCCTGGGCAGCATAGCAAGACCTCATCTCTATGAAAAATAGCTGGGCATGGAGGCATGCGCCTGTAATCGCAGCTACTCAGGGGGCTGAGGTGGGAGAATTGCTTAAGCCTGGGAGGCAGCAGAAGTTGCAGTGAGCTGAGATCTCACCACTGTACTCCAGCCTGGGCAACAGAGTGAGACTGTCTCAAAAAAAAAAAAAAAAAAGAATTAAATTTTGGTCTCACACACTTTGATGAATGACTTTTGTCTTTTCTTCCCACCTCAGGCTTGTGATGTCCCTATTGAGGAGGGGCCAGTCCCCAGAACAGGGGCAAAAGGGCCTATTATGTCCATCTACTTCCGAGACCCCGACAGAAATCTGATTGAGGTGTCAAACTACATCTCCTCGTGACGGAGGCACATTCTGTCCTCCTCCTCCATTCTGTCCCCCTTGATGTTGCCCTCTCCTTTCCTTCCTGCAAACCACCACCCAGGCCCAGAGACCTCTGAAGACTGAGGACTTAGGCACTTCACACATCCTGCTCAGGGGGGACCCAAGACAGGTTTGGGACCAAACCTACATGTCTGTATGTCATCCAAGCTGGCCTAATAAATGCATAACCTCTCTACGAATACGGGATCTTCGTTATTGTATTGGAGCCATGCATGGGTGTTTATGTAAGGTGTGAGATCTCTGAGCTATTCGGTCGGAGGCCTATGACCCAGGGTATGACACCCCTGAGCACGGAATCTAGGATCATCCCCTTGGGATTCAAGGCTCCTGACAGATTTCTCCTTGTCAGTGACGCCATCATCTTCATCCTTTCCTAACTCGCCTCACTCCTCCAGTTGCTGCCTGCTGTTTCCTCCATTCCTGGGCCTCGCAGAATCCCAGGATCTCTCATTCCCATCAGACCTTCCAGGACCAGCACCAGGCGATACTACCTCTTCCCGGAGAGCCTTCTCTAGTCTCACTCTCAGGGTATTTAGCACTTTCTACCTTTGGATCTAGTAGATCAAAGAGTTCAAGACCAGCCTGGGCAACATAGTGAAACTCTCCCCTCCACAAAATAAATAAATAAATAAATAAATAAATAAATAAATAAATAAACCAAATCATCTCAATTGAAGCATAGCTCGTGGCAGGGTAGGCGGGACAAGGTCAAATTTCCTCTGTTTCTGTGCCCCTCCATCATTCAGTCAACTAAAAATGTATGTTAAGCACCTACTGTGTGCCAGGCACTGTTCCAGGCACTGGAGAGACAGCATTGAGCAAAAGAGATAAGCATACCTCTGTTTGTGGAATTGCCATTCTAGTGGGAGAGGTAGAAAATAAATAAAACTAAGTAGGTAAAATATTAAGTATGTTACAGGTTGATAAATGGTTTGGAGAAAAAGAAAACACGGAAAAGAGGGAATGCAGATAAAAACTGTTGGGGCAGGTTGGACACAGTGGCTCACCCCTGTAATCCCAGCACTTCGGGGGGCCAAGGCAGGCGGATCACTGAGGTCAGGCGTTCGAGACCAGCCTGACCAACATGGCAAAACCCCGTGTTTACTAAAAATACAAAAATTAGCCGGGCGTGGTGGCCTATGTCTGTAGTCCCAGCTACTCAGGAGGCTGAGGCACCAGAATTGCTTAAACCCAAAGGCAGAGGTTGCATGAGCCGAGATCGCGCCACTGCACTCCTTCCTGGGTGACAGAGCGAGACTCTGACTTGAAAAAAAAGAAATTGCTGGGGCAGCTTCTGATGTCTAATGAGGTGGTCCCGGAAAGTGTGACTGAGAAGGGTCTTGAGCACAGATCTGAAGAGATGAGTAAGCCACACAGCTAGCCAGTGGAGGAAGGGCACACCAGGCAGAGGCATCGGCCAGTGCAAAGGCCCTAATGTATGAATGTGCCTGGTGTGTGTGAGGAACAGCAAGGAAGTCAGTGGGGGAAGCAAGTGGTATAGATGGGTGGGGTCTGGCAGGCCAGGGCAAGGGCTTTGTCTTTTACTCTGAGTGACAGGCAGCTGAAGGAAGGTTGTGGACAGAGGAGGGACGTGATCTGATTTAGGATTTAATAGGCTCCCTCTGGCCACTGCATGGAAAATATACTGTCAGAGCGAGGATGGAAACAGGCGATCAGTGAAGAGGAGGCCACTGCAGTGGTCCACGCAAGTGTGATGGTGGGACAGGGGAAGTGATTTTTATTTGTTTGGGGTCTTTCTTTTTTTTTTTTTTGGTAGAGTCGGGGGTCTCACTATGTTGCTCAGGCTGGTGTCGAACTCCTGGCCTCAAGAGATCCTCCTGCCGGGCGCGGTAGCTCACATCTATAATCCCAGCACTTTGGGAGGCTAAGGTGGGCAGATTACGAGGTCAGGAGATCAAGACTATCTTGGCTAACAGCCTGGGTGACAGAGCCAGACCTGTCAAAAAAAAACCAAAAAAACAAAAAAACCAGAAAACCTGCTACAGTTTTTGTTTCTTCTTTCTCTCTTTCCTTTCTTCCTTCCTTCCTTCCTTCCTTCCTTCCTTCTTTCCCTCCCCCATCCCTCCCTTTCTTTCCTTCCTTTCCTCCTTTCCTTTCCCTTCCCTCCCTTCCCCTTCCCTTTCCTTCCTTCCCTTCCCTTTCCTTTCCTTTCATTTCCTTCTTTTTTCCACTGCCAGAAAATGCTACAGGTTTTAGGAAAACCTTTTATATACTAAAACTCATATCTTTATACTCCCTCTCTTCGCAGCACTTTTGGGGCTCCTTGGTGGTTCATTCACAGGGTCTGGCTGAACTACCCTCTGAAGACTATTTAGCGACCAGAGTCCAGAAGACCAGGGGCTCCTTTACTTCAAGAGACTCTCACACATGCTCCTTCATCCATCACTCCTTCACTCAGGAATCCGCACACTTTCCTTCCCACTTGCCTGACTCATCTGCCTGTCCCTTCTCTTGTTTTAGAATCCAAAATGTCCTCAGGCCTCTTCTCTAGCTGACATCCTCTTTTTCGGGAACTCATCCAGTCCCTATCTTCAAAATATCTCCAGAATCTAACCATTAAAAAAAATCATCTCCTGGCTGATCTGGCCCCCCCCCCCCCCCCCGGGGGGAAGAAAAAGACTCCCTCCCAAAAAAAAAAAAAAAAAAAAAAAAAAATCATCTCCTGGCTGGGTGCAGTGGCTCACGCCTGTAGTCCCAGCAGTTTGGGAGGTTGAGGCAAGAGGAATTTTTTTTTTTTTTTTTTGAGATGGTGTCTCTCTCTGTCACCCAGGCTGGAGTGCAGTGGAACAATCTCGGCTCACTGCAAGCTCCGCCTCCTGTTCACGCCATTCTCCTGCCTCAGCCTCCCGAGTAGGTGGAACTACAGGCGCGTGCCACCACGCCCGGCTAATTTTTTGTATTTTCAGTAGAGACGGGGTTTCACCGTGTTAGCCAGGATGGTCTTGATCTCCTGAGCTTGTGATCTGCCTACCTCAGCCTCCCAAAGTGCTGGGATTACAGGCATGAGCCACTGTGCCCGGCCCCGGCAAATTTTTAAATTTTTTGTAGAAACAGGGTCTTGCTATGTTGCCCGGGCTGGCTTCAAACTCCTGGAGTGAAGGGATCCTCCCACCTCAGCCTCCCAAAGTGCTGGGATTACAGGCATGAGCCACCATGCCCAGCCAGGTTTTCTGCCTCATTCTAAAAGACAATTTGCCATGGACCCAGACATTATATGCCCGGAGATGGATGATTTATGGATGAAAGGAAAGAGAAAATGAAGGAATAGAGGAAGGAAGGAAGGAACAGACGGGTGGATGGGTGAGTGGGTAGGCAGATGAATAAATGGGTAGATGCTCTGATATTTCCTCCCTCCTCCCCTGAGAAACTCCTTCACAGTTGTGCAGAGAGAGAGGAATATGAGTTTATAAATTGCAGATTTGTTATAATAGGGAAAGAAACTAGAAACAATGCAAATGTTCATCATCAAATGAGTGGTTAAACAAAATGTGGTATATCCGTTCCATGGAATATTACTTTCAATAAAAGGGAACGAACTTATGAGGCCAGCATTACTCTGATGAGAAAACTAGACAAAGACATCACAAGAAAACTACAGACCAATATCTCTTATAAGTATAGATGCAAAAATCCTCAATAAAATACAAGTAAGTAGAATCCAGCAACATATAAAAGGATTATACACCACGGCCAAGTGGGATTTATCCTAAGAATGCAAGGTTTGGTCAACTAATGGAAATCAATCAATATAATGCATTATATTAATATAATAAAGAACAAACACCACATGATCTTTTCAGGAGATGCAGAAAAAACGTTTGACAAAATTCAACACCCCTTCATGATAAAAATACTCAACAAACTAGGAATAGAAGAGAACTTCCTCAACCTGATAAAGGACACCCACAAAAAACCCACAGCTAACATCATACTTAATGCTGAAAGTTGGAAAGGAACAACACAAGGATTCCCCTTCTCACCACATCTTTTCAACATTGTACTGGATGCTCTAGCTGGGGCAATTAGGCAACAAAAAGAAATAAAAGGTATCCATATTGGAAAGGAAGAAGTAAAACTATCCCTCTATGCAGATGACATGATTTTATACATAGAAAATATTAAGGAATCCACAACAAAACCATTAGAGCACCATTAGTGCATAACCATTAGAGCAAGGTTGCAGGATATGAGATTTTGTATGATTCAAGATCATACAAAGTTTAACCATATATGCTAGCAATTAACAATCCAAAAGTGAAGTTAAGAAACTATTCCATTTACAATAGCTTCAAAATGAATAAAATACTTAGTAATAAAATGAATGAAAGAAGCGCAAGATTTACACACTGAAAACTATAAAATATTATTGAAAGAACTTAAAGAAGACCTAAATAAATGGAAAAACATCACATGTTCGTGGATTGGAAGACTTTATAGTGTTAAGATGGCAATACTCCCCCAATTGATCTATAGGCTTGATGCAATCCCTATCAGAATCCCAGCTTGCTTCTTTGCAGAACTGACAAGCTGATTCACATGGGAGTGCTAGGGGCCCAAAATACAACAATCTTGAAAAAGAAAAACAAAGTTGGAGGACTCGCACCTCCCAGTTTAAAAACTTACTATATAGCTACAGTAATCAAGACCATGTGCTACTGGCATTAAAACATACATATAAATTAACGAAATAGAATTGAAAGTCCAGAAATAAATTCATACATTATAGGCAACTGATTTTTTTGAGACAGGGACTTGCTCTGTTGCCCAGTCACAAACACAGCTCACTGCAGCCTCAAACTCCTGGGCTAAGTGATCCTCCCACCTCAGCCTCCCAAGTAGCTGGGACTACAGGCATGCACCATCATGCTCAGCTAATTTTTTAAAAACTTTTTGTAGAGACAGGGTCTCACTGTGTTGGACAGACTGAACTCCTGGGTTCAAGTGATCCTCCCACCTTAGCCTCCCAAAATGCTGGGATTACAGGTGTTAGCCACTGTGTCCAGCCAGCAATTGATTTTTGACAAGTGTACCAAGACCATTCAATGGGGAAAGAATGCTCCTTTCAACAAATGGTGCTGAGACAGCTGAGTATCCACATGCAAAAGAATAAAGTGGGACTCCTTCCTCATACCATATACAAAAAACAACTCAA